CACTATCCTGTGATAAACCATAATGGAAAAGGATATGAAAAAGAATGTGTATGTGTGTGTGTGTGTGTGTGTGTATATTATATAATACATATATAATATATATTATATATATTATATATGTATTATATATTATATATATATTACTGTACAGTAGAAACTAACACAACATTGTAAATCAACTGTATTTCAATAACATAAATTAAAACTAAAAAGACCAAGAGACCTCTTTCTAGTTTATATGTTAAAAAAGAAACCAGTGTTTATAAACAGGAAAGTGGTTTTCCCTTAGTCTTGACTTAGTTGTCTTGCTTTATTCAACTTGGAAAATCCCTTTGGAAAATCCTTACTGAAAATGATGCAGAATACAGATACCTTTTGCATAAAGGGCTTAGTCATTTGGAACATGTCACTTCCACCCCCTATGAAGCTCAATGTCCTAAACCACACCAATGATGAATACAGCTCACCTGGACAGAGATCTAGCAATTCTAGACCTATGGGTCATCGTTTCTCACCCTACACCTCATCATTTTTGATGACCTCTCCCTAAGTACATCAGAGATTGAAGCCCTGAGATTCGTTATGTCAGTATAAATGAATAAGGACAGAAAATTTACTTTAGCTGGTTTGACACAGCTCTTATTTAGTACATTTTAAGAAGAGGAATATACTTGGCCATTCCTCCAAGATAGCCGTATAGTGAGATTGACTGTTACTATAAAATTCTCACGGGAACTACGTTTATTCATAAGGGGAGAATATGTCTCTATCCTTCTGCTACGGAGACCAAAAATATTTCTCCCAAGCATTAAATACTTATCAGTCTGAATGAAGTTCAAGTTAAGCACAATTGAAGCTTCCTTCCTGGTAACATATATGACAGAAAAGCTGTGTCAGAGAGAAAAAATATTCATCCTTTTCAGTTATTCCCGTTTATGTTGGTTTCACTAGAGTGACAATTGTGTGATGGATGTATATGCCTGTACCAGAGATCTAAATCAAGATTAGGATCAGCGTGGCCTCATACTGTTCCCCAGGAGTGAAATAATGGGGATTAAGAGTCTGATGGGTTTAGCAGTGCTCCTTCAATTTGATCACACATCAGAATCACCTGGAGGGCATTAGTGCTATCCAAGTCAGCTGGGTCTCAGTAGCCTTGAGGGTCCAATGGCAGCTGAATAGAAAGACAAGGTCTTGGTCTCTGTGGAGTGGCTTGTCCCTAAGAAGAAAGAGCCAGGGAAGCGGAGGAGCCCAGCCAAGAAAACTGGGTCTTAGAGTTCCATTCCCAGCCACAGAAACCAGAGACCTAAGCCAAGACTCGTTTGTAAGCCTGGCTGGGTCAGCAAGTGCCAAGCAAATGGGTGCCTGGGACTTATCAATAAGATCGGTTCCAGGCCTCACGCACTGGGGAGGTAGGGAGGCTGCATGGAATATGGGTTTTTTGTATGTATGCATGTATTTATTTATGGCTGTGTTGGGTCTTCGTTGCTGCACGTGGGCTCTCTCTAGTTGCGGCGAGCGGGGGCTGCTCTTCGTTGAGGTGTGTGGGCTTCTCATTGTGGTGGCTTCTCTTGTTGCGGGGGCACGGGCTCTAGGCGAGCGGCCTCTAGAGCACAGGCTCCGTAGTTGTGGCCCACAGACTTAGTTGCTCCGTGGCATGTGGGATCTTCCCGGACCAGGGCTCGAACCCGTGTTCCCTGCACTGGCAGGAGGATTTTTAACCACTGCGCCACCAGGGAAGCCCCAGAATACGGGTTTTAGAGGCAAAGAAATCTTACTTTCAAATTCTGCTTTGGTACACTGGCCACAGCTATTCAGTCTCTCATGTGCATCATCCTTATTTGTAAAGAGGGAATAAGAACTACGCCTTCTTCCCAGGTTTCCTGTAATTAAATAATTCTAGTAAAGGATCAAGTACATCACCTGGTCCTTGTAGCTTCCTTCCTCCGTTCCTAGAAAACTGCTGCTCTTGGAAAGAACAGCCTACCAATGGGCTCAGCTACTGGAAATGGACAAGGCAGCTGCCAGGGCCAGGTTAAAAATAGGCAGATGTGCAGACGCAGGATGGCCTGCCACTTGCTCACACATGGTCACGCTGCCTGCCAGCTCACCACTGTTGTGCAAGCCACCTTCCTGCCTTGCCTTTCTACTAAGGCCTGGGAGAACAACATACCAACGACAGCGGAAGAGCAATTAGAGAACATCCTTCACACAACAGACATCCTACACCGTAAGGACAATGGTTTGGATGGCCTTAGAACAGCAATACCTCTAAGGCTGAGAAGAGATTCCAAGGAGTACATAAAGTATAGGAAATACAAAAATGGAAGCAGTGAAATAAGACTGCTTCTTTGAACTGACAGCAGGTCATCTCAGTAAGAAAAACTAATGTGGTTTATTCTTCATGGGAGTCTAGAATCCTACTGTGGTCAGCAAACTGTAAACAAACAAGAAGGGAAACTCAACACATTCTGTAGTGCTCAGACTAACTGGAAGCTCAGACCTGAATGGACATTTAGGACAAAAGTTTCTCGGGAGGATTGCACACAAAAATTTGTATGGGTCAAACTTCCTTCAAGACTCAAAGAAAGATACACTGGCAATTCCTCTTATTATGAAAGAATCCCAGAGTTGTCCTTAGACAATCCTAAGAAATGAAGTTGTCACCGATCCGTTAGAGATGAGCGAATACTCTTGCATTTTGGTCCTTGTCATCATTGGGTCCATAAGAAGGAATGTGCCAAGCTTTGGCTAGGCTTCTTTGTAAACTTTTAAAAACAAATGCAAGACAATTTGGGGACAACTGAGGAAATGTGACTATGGATCGTATATGAGATACTAGGGAACTATCGTTAATTCCCTTCGGTATGAAAGTAGGACTGTGGTTAGCCAGGAGACGCCTTTATTCTTAGGAGATTTGTGCTGAAGTATCTGGGGGTAAAGCGTTTAGGATGGTTGTGACTTACTTTCAGATGGTTTAGTTAAGAAACAAGCGGCGGCGCTTCGTGACCACCTAGAGGGGTGGGATAGGGAGGGTGGGAGGGAGGGAGACGCAAGAGGGAAGAGATATGGGGACATATGTCTATGTATAACTGATTCACTTTGTTATAAAGCAGAAACCGACACACCATTGTAAAGCAATTATACTCCAATAAAGATGTTAAAAAAAAAAAAAGAAGTGGGTGGGGTGGGAGGCAGGGAGATTACAGTCATTGTGAATCTTAGTAGGAGGGTATACGGGTATTTACGGAACCAGTCTTTCAACTGAGCACTTTTCAGATCTTTCTAAATCGATAGGAACATAGATTTATTCCATGCTAAACAAACAGTATAAATCTATATTACCATACATGGGCATACCTCATCATACTGTGCTTTGCTTTATTGTGCTACTTTGTAGTTACTGTATTTTTCACAAATTGAAGGTCTGTGGCAACCCTGACTCCAGCAAGTATATTGGTGCCATTTTCCAATAGCAGTGGCTCACTTCATGCTTCTGTATCATGTTTTGGGTGATTGATTGACTGTGATACTTTTTCGTGATTATATTTGTTTTGGCGATCTGTGATCTTTGATATTACTACCATGACTCACAGACGACGGTCAGCGTTTTTAGTGATGAGGTATATTTTAATGAAGGTATGTACATTGTTTTTTCAGACATAATGCTGTTGCACACACTTCATAGACTACAGTAGAGTGCAAACCTAACAACTTTACATGCACCGAGAAGCCAAAAAACTCGTGTGACTCACTCTGTGGTGACATTCACTTTGCTGCGCTAGAATTACCCTGCAATATCTCTGAGGTATACCTGTAGATTTTCTGGTAAGTAAGTAAATAGAATTTAAGCCACTAGAAAAGGTTGAGCAGGGGCTTAGTGTGACTCGGTCCACGGCAGCATCTCTCCTGTTGTATAAGTTTAAAAGAAGTCACAAAAGCAATAGACGCCTCTCTCTTGCAACACACACATCTGGTTCATCCCAGGGGATTCTCTCTCTCAGTCTTCTTAACTCTTTTTCCTACCACGTGTGCTGCAGCAAGCGCTTGCGTGGCTCTCTGCAGGAGACTGTGACTCAGGCACCAGGGTTTCAGTCCCTTAGAACTCAAAAACCAGAGGCAGTGTTTGCTGAGCTCAGCTGTTATCTCTTTATTAGGAAAGCACCCACACCACATTCTTGGAAATTACTGGAATTTTATTTGCCTCAGGCTTATGACTTGCAACCAAAGACATTGTGCAAAGAAAGCAAAGATTAAGTACACTTGAGGGAAAAGGAGACAATACACATGGGTAACACAGGAGCTCAGGTTGACAAAGGAAGCCATCCATTACACTAGATAGATTGCAATATTCAATAGCGATTTCAACAAAACTTGTCTTTTAAATCAAGAGCGAAAAATTAAGCAATGTTTACAGTAGACATAATTTTTTCAGATCATAGAGCATAAAATGGAAAAATGTCTATGTAGGTGAAGTCTAACTACTGTACATTTATCGCCTATTAAAGTTGCTTATATGTACCACAGTGTAAAAAAAAAAAAAAAAAAAAAACCCAGAACAAATAAAAACCTTGAAAATTGCCTGATGAAAAATAAAATAACCAGTGGCTTTTAATGGCTTTTCCTGGTTATTAGTGCTACAAAAAAACAAAAAAAAAACTTCTCATCTGAACAGGTGATAAAACCAGGCACAATCAAACCGTTACCAAGACCCACCCATAGAAATATACTATCCACCCACATATTTTTCCATCAAAAGCTTTTCTGTTTGTTTTAATCTTTGAGGCCCATTTGGTCACAATATGTTACAAAGATTTGTGTATGAGTGTGTGTTTCTTTACACCATGATATCATATGTTTGTCTGGCACTATCCTAAAGCTAGCTTATAGATGATAATGATATAGAAACAACCCAGTGCCCATATGACAAATGAACTCACTGAGTGGAGACGAGAGAGGGGAGGAGTTCAGTTCTACCAAGAAAAAAATGTCCACACTGATCACTCATCATCAGTCCCACTTGCTTCTGACTGTTCCTAAAAGTAAAAATAAGATAAGAAAGCCAATAAGCCATGAAGATGCGATGTAGAAAAGAAATGACATTTTGGAAACAGTTAACCCTCCCAGTAAAGAGGCATCAACAGCCTCTATGCGGAACAGGGGAGCTCCTACTTGGAAATCCCAAAGCAATGCCCGCCGTCTATGCCAGTGTTTTGCTCTATTGCACTTGGGCGTGGAAAGTTCATGGCTGTTGATTTCTAATTTTAGCACTACGTTTTTAGAAAATTCACGGGAGAGAAAAATGCCATGCATTTGCTGTCTACTTAAAGGAAACATTGGATTTTAAATGTATTTGAAGATGCTTGTGTCGAGGGTTAAAGGCTGGGTGCTGTGGGATACGAATGCTGAACCTTTTCAACAGACCCAAATGGCAGCACGCTGAAGGAAAATCAAACTAGCATAGGCGCTAACATGGAAAATTAACCTTCCAGAAAGAAAACAGAAGGGGGTGTGGGGTAGGGAACCTGAGGTCCTCTCGAAAGGGAAAGAAATAGAGGGCCCTTTAAAAGGCACTGTGTTAGAAGCTTGTGCCAGCACTGCTACCTTGTGGACCACAGAGTCAGGGACAGTGCACCAGAATGAATTAATGCTCTCTGGGTCTGAATTCAGCACTGATTTCTGTAATATGTTGAGAGTGACATCTGTCTTAGGATGCTAATATTAATAAGCACTGAATATGGTGCCCCCTGGAAAGGTCCTTATGTCAGGGCCTGGCTCCATCAGGCTCCCTGAATTTTTCAAATATTAAAATAACACCTCTAAGTACTTAAAGATGCATCTGGGTTTTCCGCACGGCACCTGAAATAGCAACTCAAACCCCAAACTAACTTTGACATCATCCCACTTTCTGTCCATGGAATCATTATTTCCTCTATATACTGCTGTATCCTAGGCACTATGCTGGGTGTTACGGATCTAAAATATTAACGAGCCGTGGGGAAAACTATTTGTAAGTAGGCACTGGGAAGATAAGAAAGGGGAAAAGGAAACCTGATTTAGTAAGTTTTTCACTTTTGAAGACTATTAAAAAGGCAGTAAACAAAACCCCAAATTCTTTGTTTTCAATCACGCAGCTCAGTTCACATCCCTCGACACCAAATCTTTACGTTTTCATTCCCGGGTAATGAAGCATAGAGGTTGGCAGGGGCCTGGGAGTACGAGAGGGAGACGGACGTGGAGAGAGCGTCCCGACCTCAAGGCAAGGCAGCCGCACTTACATTTCCATCCGGCTCTTCATCGCTGTCAAAATCGCTCACCACAGGTTTGGCTTTTCCTCGATTTGGCCTTTTCTTGCCTTTTCCTTTGTCCCGGCCTTTGTCATCTTTTTTATTGAGCTTGATTTTCACCTTAACAGATTTTGCTACAACAAAACCAAAACACACAGCAATGAGGAATCAATCACAGGGAAATCTTTTTTTTTTTTTTTTAACATCTTTATTGGAGTATAATTGCTTTACAATGGTGTGTTAGTTTCTGCTGTATAACAAAGTGAATCAGTTATACAGATACTTATGTTCCCATATGTCTTCCCTCTTGCGTCTCCCTCCCTCCCACACTCCCTATCCCACCCCTCCAGGTGGTCACAAAGCACCGAGCTGAGGCGCCTACCTGCAGGTGACAAACCCAACAACCCCGAGTGCCCTGAACATTCTCGACTGATTCAAGCCTGTTCTCCATTGTCCTAGTTAGCACCCCTTTCACTTGCATACATGTCTAAGTTTGCATGATAAGTTACACAGTCACCCTAAATGGGCAACAAAAAGGAATGAGGTTCCAGAGGGAAGCTGGGCTGGGTCCTTTCCAGGTCTCCTAATGGATGAACAGGGATCTTCCTAATCAGGACAGCAAGGGTTGCCTTACCTACTGCGTGGATGGGTGTGGGCATTTTAAATTTTTCATTAAAAAAATATTTTTTTATAATGAATTTTTATTGGAGTACAGTTGCTGTACAGTGTTGTGTTAGTTTCTACTGTACAGCAAAGTGAATCAGCTCTATGTATACATACATCCCCTCTTTTTTGGATTTCCTTCCCACTTAGGTCACCACAGAGCACTGAGTAGAGTTCCCTGAGCTATACAGTAGGTTCTCTTCAGTTATATACTTTATACATAGTATCAATAGTGTATATATATATCGATCCCAATCTCCCAGTTCATCCCAGCCCCCCTCCCCCCCTTGGTGTCCATACGTTTGTTCTCTACATCTGTCTCTATTCCTGTTTTGCAAATAAGATCATCTATACCATTTTTCTAGATTCAGTATATACGCGTTAATATACGATATTTGTTTTTCTCTTTCTGACTTACTTCACTCTGTATGACAGTCTCTAGGTCCATCCACATCTCTGTAAATGACCCAATTTCATTCCTTTTTATGGCTGAGTAATATTCCATTGAATGGCCATCATTGAAAAAATCTACAAGCAATAAATGCTGGACAATGTGTGGAGAAAAGGGAACCCTCTTGCACTGTTGGTGGGAATGTAAACTGATACAGCCACTATGGAGAACAGTATGGAGGTTCCTTCAGAAACCAAAAATAGAACTACCATACGACCCAGCAGTCCCACTGCTGGGCATATACCCAGAGAAAACCATAATTCCAAAAGACACATGCACCCCAATGTTCACTGCAGCACTATTTACAATAGCCAGGACACAGAAGCAACGTAAATGTCCATCAACAGAGGAATGGGCATTTTTTGAAACAGAACTTTGACATTAAAAAGTATACATAAGTGTAAAAGGTTTAAAAAAAAATCCAATGATTTTTACTGTGTAAATAACTTCAGTTGACTTAAAAAGAAAATTCATAGGTGGATATTTTTAACAGTACAGAAAGGTACAAAATGGAAAATAAAAACAAAACAAAACAAATGAATTTGAAAGGTTTCTTTCCCCATCTCTAGTCTCTCACCCTACAGTTCTCTTTCTGGTGGTTATTTCCAGAAAAAGAAGTATACCTCCATATTTGAAAATATATGCATCCATGTGTGTGTATGATTCTCTCTCTATTGATAGATGACATAAAATTCCATAAATTTCTATATAGAGAGATATAAAGGATTCAAGTATATACCCATACAAAAAGATGGCACCCACTTCCACTCTCACAGGGCTATTCTGAGGATAGAAATAAAAACACAAGGAAGAAAGAAGTCCAAGTGTTATACCACAGTGAGAGGTGCACATCCCAAGGTTCACAGAAAATCTGCTCCCTGGCATTGTTCTGGGACAGGTGTCCACAGGACAGCATTTTTAGGGATGGATGATGAAGTGACCAAGAATGAAAGTCTCTCATTCAAACCAGTTTTGTTAGAATATTATGTTTGGTGGGTCTCAAGGAACCTAGAAATAGATATTGTCACGGAGAGCATCAGATCCAGAAAGAATCTTAGAGATGATGAGAAATTTCCAGACTTCTTTTGTAAAGGGGAAGGACCCAAAAAACGTTTCCAGAAATGAGAATTACAGGCTAACAAATAAGATGAGAGCAGAGGTATTCTGAACTGAAGTGCCGGGGCAGCAAATGCCCTTCCCTCATCCCAAACAGGGCTGGCAAAAGGCTGGCAAATCCTAGTGCTCAAAACAGTATCCTACCTCAGGCTTCCATATATCATACCCAATGTCTACTGCTTAATAAGCTATAAGGTGGGGACTTGACAAAAAGACTGGGGATGCAAAAGTCTACCGATTTATGGAAATGCACGAAGCTGTGAAAACCTTTAAAAATTTAAAAAGTAATCTGGAGGGCTTCCCTGGTGGCGCAGTGCTTGGGAGTCCGCCTGCCGATGCAGGGGACACGGGTTCGGGCCCCGGTCCAGGAGGATCCCACATGCCGCGGAGCGGCTGGGCCCGTGAGCCATGGCCGCTGAGCCTGCGCGTCAGGAGCCTGTGCTCCGCAACGGGAGAGGCCGCAGCAGTGAGAGGCCCGCGTACAGCAAAAAAAAAAAAAAAAAAAAAAAAAGTAATCTGGAAAGAAAAAGTGAAATATCTTTCTCTACACAGGTGTGGCTCTTCCTGACACGGGAGTACAGGAAATCCATGGGAGGTGTGAAAGGGCAGAAGACTGTCAGTAAAGGTAAGAAAATACATCCTCGAGAACATAATCTAAATACTCACTGGAGTGTGGGACACTCAAAAGCTATCAGACTTTGTGAGTCAGTGGATATGCTCCTCCAAAAAACCCACCTGAAAGGCCGCCACGGGCAGCTAGACTAATCAACTGGACCATCAGATGGGCCCTTTAAACAGCATCCTAAGGCTTTATGACACCACTACACAGACATATGACAAGTTCCAGTTAACCAGGGTGGCAGGCAGAATAGTGATGGCGCCCAGAGACGTCCATGTCCTAATTCCCAGAACTTGTGAATATGTTACATTGCATGGCAAAAGGGATTCCACTGACCTTGAGATGGGGAGATTATCCTAGATTAACCGGGTAGGCTGGGCCCAATCTCATCACACGAGTCCTTCAAAGTGGAAGATGAGGTTCTGATTTAAGAAGGTGACACAGGAAGACCCTGAACTTACCTCTTCCCATGGACACACAGAATCTAAGGTATGTATGCAACAACCTCCTCTGAAAAAGACCTAAAAACTAGCTCAGTGACACCTACACATTGGACAAATGTGGAAAAACCTGCACTGAAGCAGGTAAGAAAGGCAGAGAGGCCGATACATAAACTCATGATAAATGCCATCCTTGGTGCAGTGACCCACAACTGGAAAGGAACTGAAAACCTGAAACTTCTCTAGGAGGGGTGAAGGTTTGAACCCCACATCAGGCACCCCGACTTTTAAGACTTGCACCTGAGGGATGCCTCCAAAACATCTAGCTTTGAAAACCAACAGGGCTTGGGTCCACAGGACCCACAGGGCTACAGCCAGTTCGGAAATGGCTCGTAAGAGTCTCACGCTCAGACTCACCTGCCCCAGGACCCAGCTCAAAGTCAGCTCATTGAGAGGCACCCAGGCTTCACATAAAAGAGGCTTATTTGCTTATCTTAAAGCATCAGCCTAGGGACGGGCATCTAAGTTAACCCGTATCTAAGGGCTGACCATCATCCCTTCCAGAGAACTTGGCAGAGGGGGGATGCTATCTTTGCACTCTCCCTCTGCCACACTCCAGAGCACTAGTGTCTCTTGGAGGGGAGCTTTTACACCCGCTCGGTGCCCTGGTTTTTGCAAGTGCAGCCCAGGGGATACCTTCAGATTGCCTGGTTCTGGTGGTCAGTGGGTCTTAGGCCTGTGGTCCCACTGGACTGTATATTTGCATACTTTAAAAAGCTGCTGCCTGAGGATCTGGCTTCCAATCAGCCTGAATCTAGGTATTGAGATCCTCCCTTCTAAGACACTGACTGACAGGTCTTGGCGCACCCTCAACTATTGGGAGCCACTACATGGAGGCTGCTTGGACAATCACAAAGGTGTGAGAGACAAGGAAGAGTCAGAGCAGAGGTTGAATGATAAAGTTTTTGTCTCCTACTGTGAGGCCACTCCCTTCAAGACTGGGAGAGATGGCTGTTTTATCAAATGAGAGAGTCAAGAAAAATAGAGAGAGGAATATGTTCCAAATGAAAGAACAAGATAAAAACCTCAGGAAAAAAGTCTTTAATGAAACAAAGATGAATGGCTTAGCTGGTTGACAGAATTAAAAATAATGGTCATAAAGATGCTCACTGAACTTGGGAGAAGAATGAATGCAAATAGTGAGAACTTCAAAGAGAAAACACAATTAACCCTTGAATAACATGGGGGTTAGGGGCGCCAAACCTCTGTGCAGTCAAAAATCTGTGTATAACTTTACAGTTGGCCCTCCGTATCTGGGGCTCTGCATACAAAGATTCAACCAACTGCAGATTGTATAGTACTGCTGTATGTATTTATTGAAAAACGAACAATCTGCCTCCAAGTGGACCCATGCAGTTCACACCTGTGTTGTTCAATGGCCAACTTTATAAGCAAGTACCAAATAGAAGTCACAGAGCTGAAGAATATGATAACTGAACTGAAAAGTACACTAGAGGGGTACAACAACAGACAAGATGAAGCAGAAGAGAGATCAGTAAACTCAAAGACAGGGCAGTGAGACTCATCCAATCAGAGCAGCAAAAAGAAAAGAATGAAACGGAGTGCAGATAACTTAAGGGACTTATGGCACAACATAAAGTGGACCAATATTCACACTGTAGGGCTCCCAGAAAGAGAAGAGAGAGAAAGGGGCATAAGACTTATTTGAAGAAATAATGGCTGAAATCTTCCCTCATCTGCAGAAGGAAATACAGCCAGATCCAGGAAGAGTCCCAAATAAGAGGGACCCACACTTAGACATACTACAATTAAAATGTCAAAACT